CCTCCTTTGAATTTACTGTGTAGACTCATGCGCATCCATAAATGATTATAAAATGTTAAAAAAATACCAAAGAGAAATGCAAATCATTCTAGAATCATTATCTTTTGAAATTATAAGTACGCATAGGAAGAAGTACAGCATCAGTTTTTTTCTTTCTTTATTATCCACTATGAGGAACAGTTGTATCAATTGAATAAAACGCATTTGTTTAATAAGTGAAGCTTGGTTTTTACTGTAAAAAAAATAATATAAAGACTCATATAAATATGCCTGCTCGAATCAACACGCATCTAACCGGAGACAGACTTAAGTTTGTAGAATTGTTCTGATACACTAAATATATGAAATATTTCTGTAGACACCATCTTGAGGGTGTAGATGTGGGTTTATGGGTGTACCTGTGGGGTGTGGGTATATGTCTTCGCTAAACCCACACATACCCTATACACCCACACCCACACCCGCAATGACCGTAATCCATGTTCTGGATGTATACCATCTTTCAATGATCGAAACACATTTTTGTTATCACAATTATTTCTAAGCGTAAAAATAAATAATAAAGTTTCTTTACACCTTGATAGACAACGCCCTCTTTTCTATCAAAGAGTCTCTACATATGTTTTAAATACAATGGCAACAAAGGTTATGTACATAAAGGTGTAGGTAGCTTATTTCAATATTTTTTATCATAGTTTATATTATTAAAGCACGTGTTATTTATCTAACATATTCATGTATCAGTCTTTAGAAATTATGAATTCTTTTTTTCTATTCTCTGCGTACTTAATACTAAACATCGTCTAGTGTTTTATTACATCCGAATACAGTATGATGAATTTCGGTACATGTGTAGTGTGAACACACCACTACTGTTCTTATATATAAAGGCAGAACAGAAAAAAAAATCTATTAGCAAATAAACACACCACTATTGAATGAATATATTCGTTCAATAGTGGTGTGTTTATTTGCCAATAAATTTTTTTCTCTGTTGTCTTTATACATATGAATAAGAGTAGTGTGCTTAAACTGCACGTGTACCTACGAGCATTTAATTCAGACACAACGAATGGTGTCAAACAAATCGTTCTCAATCACTTTTAAATAAAGTAAGATACACGTTGTTTTATTCGTATAAAGAAACATAGCAAAATAATGACGAGACGAAAATTCTGTCGAGATAAACATCTAGTTTTTGATCACGAGCGTGCCTGAGTGATGGTAATCATTAGATATTGAAACGAACAATTAACTATGATCAAATATTTTAATATGTCAAATCAGCTGAATATTAGTAATATTCTCTAATTGATTGATCTCTCTTCACTTATTTGCTAGATTAGAAAATGATTACTAAAAATACGCTAAATATGATTTTTTTGCTCATCAGTTTAACAGCATAGGAAGCGTTATACCTCACATTGCTTTATAAAGTTGACTTGGTCAGAAGTATAGACAGTTAGATTATTATTCCCATCAAAACTCTCTGACTGATACAATTGATTCTACGATATCCATAATCGACGTCTCTAACCGTAGTGGTTCCGTTGAGTATCTATATGACAATGAGATTAATATGAATGGCGATTCCACAAAGTGGTCCGACTAAAGAAAAGATAGACTCATACGTGAGCATCTCATCGTTTTTTTTCTGATTTATCAGTAAACTTTCAATTGACTCTTTAGTTTCTCAAAACTTTTGTATTGAGATAAATTAAAATCAGTCAATGTTTGAGCTGTTTTGAGTTAATAGAACATGCACTTCTTTCGGAACTTGTTGATAAACTCAAATAGAAACTTTTCAACTCTTGAAAGACCAAGAGAAAAATTTTCTATTTGTCCAAGCATTAATTTTTCCTAAAGTTAGTCAGATGTTTACGAAAAAGAAAAATGAGATCTTCATTTCTAGTTTAGCTCCAATTATTGTCAATTAACTAGAGTTGCAGCAACAGTTTGGTTTCGTTTAGCGAATACGTTTATAATCAATGAGAAAAATATCTCGAATATGTATTAAGGGTGTGTCAGATTTAGAGTAAAGAAGAATTGTGTCTGATACTCTTTCATAACGATCTCAATTTTAGATTTATATGGAGAATTTGATATCTGATAGTAGAACAAAAGATTTATCTAAAGAAAGCAGTTGGAAGACTAACTACAAATGTCCACCTAAACCGAACATAGAAGCATCTCGTATTCACTGTAAAATCTACTCAAATCATGCTTTCAATATGGCCAATAATCTTCAAACCTACCGAGTCTACACGTTCTATCTAGATGGTGTGGACTATTTTTTCTCCAAAACAAGCGAACTTGATGAATCTGTGATTTCATCACTTGACAAAAGTGGTATATTTCGTCATATTTGCATGTTCTTATGTTTACATTACTATAAACACCGAGCAGCAATCAAAAAACGTCATCAACTTGCACAAAATTTAATCATCCAAAAGTATAATAAAAAGCCACCATTTATACGGACATTGTTTTCCCACACTTCCGGAGGTGAAGCACTACGAACAGCAATCCGTACAATGCATCGAAAATTGTATAGTTCGGGATTATGTGGACGAAAGCGTCGTACATGTTATATAACCACGGGCAAAGAATTTATTCGTATCATGGAGAAAGATGGAGGAATGATACCAGACGAAGAAGAATGTCTTAAAAATCAAGAATTACAAGATGAAGAGATACGACGACGAAAAGAAATGGCATTTCATTCCAGTCCCGAGTTTACCTATACTCTATTGCCCGATGGAATACTTCATATTTCACGAGCAGATACTTTAATACGTAATATGGCATCCAAACATGCTTTACAAGCGTCATGTGAACCTGAAGTGATCTACGCAGGAACATGTCGATTCGAGAAGAGAGACGACGAACAAGACATTATATTTGTGATCGATAACGATTCGGGAACGTATGCACCAAAAAATGATAACGATGAATTAGCTCGGTTGAAAAATTTGCTAGAATGGAATTTTCGTGGATTAAAAGTAGATGCTAAGACATATGTACCACCAGAAATGGAGAATGATGATGAAGATGATGATGATGATGGTAATGGAGAATAAGATGTCTAAAGCATCGTTCTATAACATATCGAAAATCTTTTGTTTTTTTTTACTTATTAACCGTATAAAATAAACATCATCCGATAAGATAGCAAAAAAAACCATGAGTCACCACTTTGCAGATTTATTTTCAAAAAAGTTTTCAAAAAAAGCACAAGATGGATAGTTCACTGGAGTGATTTTGAATCGACAAATGTTGATAACGGCACTTTGATCTGTTTGGTGTTACAAATATTTGTCGTTGGTGTTTGAACTCGTTAAAGAACAGTTTTTCGAACGTTGTACTTCCATTAATAACTTTGTAATAGCTCGCATCATTTAGCCATTTATTTTGATTTCGAAAAGATTGCTACCGTGGTTTTTTCAAGTAATCGAAATGTTCATTGGAATTACATTTACAACTACATTTTTCATATAGAAAAATGCGCCAGAGTTTTCTTGTAGAACTGCTAAGATTCACTTTGGTAAAGTTTTATGTATCATTGGATGGTAAAAAAGCAAATATGTAGATTTATGAGATAGAATAAAGTAAACAAATAAAAAATATCGTCTTCGTAATTTTTGATATTCATATTTGGTTATTGTTCGAACATTCTCTCACAACGATGGCTTGAAAATGTCCAAACAACCATTTTTTCGTTCTCTTTTTTTCGGACGCTTATCTACACACTCTATTTTCTTTTTCATATTCTTCAAATTATGGTTATCGGACATGCAGTTATGACCTTATATTCTCACTCTCCTGACTTTGATTCTGCTATTGTTGTCAGCTAATAAGTAAGTTCATTATTCAATATGGAAGGGAAGAAAAAACAGAAAATAGATGCAACATTCACCGTCAGCTGGTCACTATTTCACATCATGGAATGCATATAAAATGAGACATGTTGCTTCTCGTTCGTTTAAGCTCAAATATTTTCGTAGTATAGATATATTTAGTTTCAAATATATGAAAATAAGTGTCGATTATCACCCAGAAAAATGACTCAAAACAACTTACAAACTTAGCCAGGTAAAATATCTTGTATGTTTCATTGTTGCGTCTGTTGTAGTGTACTGCGTGAATCACGAATCACGGTCACGATCACGAATCACGCTCACGCGTGAGCGTGATCGTGCGTGATTATCATTTTTTTTTTCAGATCGTGATCGTGATCGTGCGTGATTAAGTTTTTTTTTCCAAATCGTGATCGTGACCGTGAGTGGCAAAGAAGCTTTCTTCGTGATCGTGACGTGACCGTGATTGAGGAAAAAATTCGTGATCGTGATCGTGATGGAGACTAACATCTCGTGATTCACGACTATAGCAAAGGGTGCGGCGGAATAAATGGGCGATTAGTATTTTATTGATATTTCAATAACTCCTAATTGTTCAGACCTTATTATTTTTCCAAAAAATTTACCGTAGAATTCTGCACAACGTGGTATAACCTAATTAACTAATAGATTTGTCTTTCTTTCTTTCTAGAGCACAACTGTTTTCAACAACAAGACTTGAACAATTTTCTAAATCTGGATATTTTTCAGGGAAAGTTTTTCATTCTTTAATCATTGCAAATTACTTTTTCGCATGTTTACAGCTCGTTTTGGTGGTTAATCCATTGAAAGTAATAACTGGTAACACACTGCTTGCATTAATAATCATCAAACATGTCATAAAGCAAGCCGCAAAGATCGAAGAATGAAAACATTTTCTCTGAAAAATATCAGATTTAGAAAATTGTTCAAATCTTGTTGTTGAAAACAGTTGTGCTCTAGAAAGAAAGAAAAATCTATTAGTTAATTAGGTTATATTACATTGTGCAGAATTCTACGGCGAATCTTTTGAAAAAATAATAAGGTCTGAACAATTAGGAGTTATTGAAATATCAATAAAATACTAATCGCCCATTTATTCTGCTGTACTCGTTATAGCGGCGATGAGCTTTTCCGTCACTAATTTTCTCATCTTTGTTTACAGAATAATAAAGCGAAAAATGAATGCATGGTTGGACCAGCACCATGTGGAGAACGCTCACGAGTCGGAACTATTAGTCTCTGAGATTGGACACCATGTTAAAATGATGAGAATTTTTTTGCCCAAAAAACATTGCGAATAGTCGTGATCGTGATCGTGAATTTGGTTTGAGAAAATCCGTGATCGTGATCGTGAATTTTGTTTGAGGAAATGCGTGATCGTGATCGTGAGTTTGATCTAAGAAAATTCGTGATCGTGATCGTGAGTTTGATCTAAGAAAATTCGTGATCGTGATCGTGAGTTTGATCTAAGAAAATTCGTGATCGTGATCGTGACCGTGAATTTGAGCTGGGAAAATTCGTGATCGTGATCGTGATCGTGATTATAGTTGAAATAAAAGTTCGTGATCGTGATTCACGACCTTGTTTTGCTCGTGATTGGGACCGTGATCGTGATCAAAAATATCAATCACGCAGTACACTAGTCTGTTGAGATTTCCAAACTGTTTCACCTGATCAACTTCAGTCTATTATTAGTCGACTCTAAAGTGATCTCGATCGATTATCAAATTATTGAAAATACTTTATGTCATTCTTCTCCTCAACGAATCATTCTATCAAAGATCATAGAAAGTAACATTTTTATGCAAGATGCAAAATTCATCACTCAAGTCGATCTTCACTACAGTTCAACTAGTTTATGTGACTTTGAGTTCTTTTAGTTTCAAAATGGATCACCTTCACCATAAAGCAAGTTAGGTAATGTCTCTATCTTTGATATTGGAGGTTACACTCGCTAGTGAAATTCTTACCTACTCGATTGTCGTTGATTATACTAGAAATGAAAGGCTTTTGTTACTGTAAATATATTATTGGCTAGCTAAATATCGACATGTGAGATTAAATGCTACAAAACTTGAAGGCATTGCAATTGATTTTTATTAGAATTTGCCTTTCTATACTGATGAGATTAAGAGAAAAGAGTATCAAAACGTTTAATGAACTTGCAGCATAAAAAATTCAAACGTGAAATGAATAACTCAGATAGATGGATGACGAATCAAAGAATTAAACGTAGAATATGTCCAAATCCATATCTTCCATGATATGGATGAACTCAAAGAACACGTGTCCAGCATAATAGAACGTTAAGAAAAAGCTATTTATAAAGATAATGAGGTTCTAAAGGTATGAAAAAAACAAAACTTTTTTTTGATTATAGGATGATAACATCTTGAATGAGTAATTCAAATATGGATAGAAGTTTCAATGAAGAAGAAGAACGAGTTCGCGAAGAAATTCAATAATTCAAAGAACTTGAAAAAGAATTTGCTTCGAATCGATGTGATGTGTCTGTTAAATATCATTCTAACAAACACTATTTATTAATTGTTTAATTAGCTAAATGATTTGTTCGTTCTACAATCACAACTGTTTTGTCCACTGTTAAAAAATAACAAAGTTCACATCGCATTAGTCTCAACCTGATTGTCACTCGTGATGAATGTTAACATATTCAACGTGATTCAATTTTATTAGAAAGCAGTTCTTCAGATTCATTTACATGTGCCTTCGTCTTTCGATAAATGTACTCGTTAACCTTTTAATTCGGTGCTGATTCATCAGTTTCTCTTTTCTGTTTGTAACATCATATAGAGCAAAAGTCTTGTGAGATCGTTACTGTACAGCATGCCATTCAAGAAGCTAAAATTTGGCTCGAGACAAAAATCAACAACCTATTCGAACAAAAGGAACGATCTGCGTGTATTATCCGAAGTCGATGTGCTGGCTGCTATGAGAAAATCAGACAACAACAACAACAACAATCAAGAGAAAAAAGCAAGTAATACGACAGCAAAGAAAATAAAAATCTTCTGTTATAGTTGTGACAAATTCTTTTTTGTCTCGATTATCTCAACGAGAAGCATCACACTATGCAACAAATAATTCAAACAATAGCAAGACAAAGCAGATACTATATTACGTCTAACTTCCTGCCCAAGAAAAAAGAAAAAGAAAATAGTTTTCTAGTAAGTATCGTGTTAAAATACGATGGAGTCCATCGTGTCGAATGTGCTGTACTTTCTGACATGAATAGATATGAATCCTGAGTAGCAGATTGTTTTTTCGATTAATTTATTTTCAAACTAATCCTCAATAAATCCTTGATTTACAGAGTGCAGTCAATATTCTTTGACCATGTGTGTTGTAATATAAAGTTTCACATTTAAGTCACATCGGTGACTGTTCTAACGACACTCATTGAGATTAAATTTCTCTGTTTATTAATGAAATCAATCGTCGATAAGTAATAATTTTTGACTGCATTATAATCAGTGCAATGAGAAAATATCTTCTCTGTTGTCTAAGCAGTATGATTACAAGAAGAAGAGCAGCAAGTCACATAACAAATATTATTCAATACCATAAAACACAATGTGCGTTGTAATAAAGATAGAGCATCATTAAAGTTTCATGATGAAACCATGTGCCTTCTTTTGTTTTTCAAAATATGAAACGATAAATTCTGTTATCTAATATACGTGCCACTTGTTTGTCGGTCTATTTGAAAAAGTATTCTTGAATTGTAGCATAGATTGGACCAACACTAAGCAATACAGTGGTATGATAAATGAGAAAATTATGATTGAAGAGATCCAATCGTGAAATAAACTGCTTGTGTATAGGATGACCAGTAGCACTGATCATGAAATTATTCTGAATACCGAATACTTCTGCAGCTGACAAAAGAGCAAGATAAGTTGAGCCTGGATCGAGTGTGGGTATGACTGTGGCTGTGAGCGTAGATGAAATGGATACATACACTCACACCAACACCTGCATCCATACTAACACTCGCCCATAACTATACCCACATCCTCACCTCACTCTCAATATAGATGCTATTTCATCTATTATTCCTATCGAGAACATTTATTCATTGAATATTAGCAATAATTATGTTCACTTTTTCCTCAAACAATCATCAGAATTCCTCCAACTTCGTCATGTAAAGGCGTGGGTGTGAGTGCTGGTGTGGGCCT